GATACTCCTGGAAAGCCTCCTCCAGAGGAATCACCCGGTGGTCCCTGTGCTCTCGGGATCGCTCGCAGACCCGGCAGATGAGGGTCTTGTGGTGTTGACAGAAGAGCTTGAGGGGCTCCTGGTGCGCCCTGCAGAAGCCCCCTCCTTCCTCACTCTCAGGGTCGCAGCGCTGGGCGATCTCCACCACACGCGCCAGCTGCCTGTTCGCGAGGATGTTCCCGGGCACGAAGGTCCGTCTGCACTGGGGGCAGGAAGCCTCCGACGGCGATTCCCCCCAACTGCGGGTCAAGCAGCTGCGGCAGAAGTTGTGGCCACACTCCGGGATGAGCACGGGGTCCTGGAAGTACTCCAGGCAAATGGGGCAGGTGGCTTCTTCCAGCAGGTCCAGCACGGGCGCCCCGGCCGCCATCGCCGCCTCCTCCGGCGAGAGCGAGAGCGAGAGCGAGAGAGAGAGAAGGGACTGCCCATTGCCTAAACGGCCAATCAGGAAACGGAGCAGGAAAAGCTCTAAAACTGGGCCAAAGTCCACATGGGGAAGTGACTTGGGTCACCCCCTGGAGGGGTCAAGCAGAGGGGCAGAAACAGCGTAGAGTATGGAATCGGATCATTTGCCTGATGGAAACGTTCAAGTCATAGGCCCAGGTGCTCCCTGAGGGCAAAAGATGGATAGGAAGAGTAATCAGCAGTCTCAGGCCAAGCTAGGATGGGGGACCCGTCTTTGGAGGTGGGGGCCCATCGGGGGGGGGAGCATCTTACGGGTCCTTCTGCTCAAGGGCTGCGGGGAGGCTTCCCTGGTCACTGCGGGGCCCCCGAGGGGACATGGCCAGTCCCAAAGCCCCCTTTATCTCCCCTTTCTCTCCCCCAGCCCTGCTCCTCCCCACAGCCTCCTCCATGTTGGGAAATTGCTCTGCGCAATTCCCAGTTTGCCCCCCGGACCCTCCCATCCCAACCAGATTAGACCCAGTGCACGTGGCTCTCGCTTCAGCTAGCAAAAAATGGAGCTTGATCTTTACTTGTTAAATATCAGCCAACAGTTAAAACAGGAACTGGCAAAAACGGGATAAAAGGCTGCAAAAGAACAGAGAGATGAACAGCGAGCAACCATTTACAAAATCTCTATATCTGTGTCTTTCCCTGCGTCCTTATCAAAAGGGACATCACTTTTCAGTCCTGGGGATAATTAGCCTGGATGGTCCCAAAGGGTTATACAGCTTTTGGTTATTGCAGCTTTAACCCCTTTTTGTACAGAACAGCAGGAGAATAGAGGTGGAAAGTAGGACACCAGGTGATCCCTCCTGTATTCTGCACCATGAAGGAAACAGTTTGGAGGCTGAGCGGGATGTATCCAACATTATCCTTCTCATCCACTCCGTAATGAGTTGTACCCCCATGTGTTGTTTCAGGCACCACATCCCGATGCTTTGCTCAGCCTGAGGAGACAGTCCCGGACAACGCTTGGGAAGTGCATCTGCCACTGGATCACCAGCAGTACAGGTAATCCTCACTTAATGACGATAACTGGGATCAGAATTTCCATCACCAAGCGATGCAGTGGTAAAGCACAATGTCACATGACTGCATTGCTTAGCAATGGCAATCCTGACTGTCCCGGTTGCTGCTGATAAGCAAAAACTGCAGGTTGTTAAGCGAGGACCTCACGTGACAGCGGCTTGCAACTTTCTGCTAGCTTCCCACAAGCAAAGTCAATGGGGAAGCTGGCTGGAAGTTGCAAGTCCCAGGCTGCTTGCAAGCAGGCCGGAGGGCGGTTGAGTACTACAGAGTGAGGCGGGGGGGCTGCAGTGAGTGCGTGCAGGCTGGGGATGGGGCTGCAGTGTGGGCTGGGATCTCATACTCAATAGCAGGGCTCCTCAGGAGAAAACACTTGCACAGGGACATCTGCCTGGGTAACACCTGACTGGAAGGCGCCAGCCTGGCACAATGTAGGCTCCTTATGGCTGCTGTTCCGTGTTCTCCTGATGGTGGTCTCATGAACGCTGAGTTCACCAATGCAAGAGAGGCCTTTACTTCCTTAGACGTTGCTCTGTAGATCTTTGACACCTCCTGGAGTGTCACATGCCTTGTTCTTGGTCTGAACTTGTGATGGAAGACTTGAACGAGGAGGTCCAAGGTCATAGGGAGGGGGAGAGGAATCCCAAGCATCTCCTCAGCCCGCAGCCTGTGTGTGTGAAAACTAAGAGGATGAGACTGGCACCACCCTAAGGAATTCAGAGTGTTTAGTTGCGGTCATTGGGGGTTTGAGTTAGTCTGACGAGATTCTGTCTAGTAGGTGTAAGTTAATAAAGTAACTGAAGTGTTCCTGAATTGTCCCGCTAAGTTTCTTGGGCTGAACTTGACAGATCTTGATTGGTGGAGCACTCCTGGTGAGGGTAACTGTGGTGTTGAATGGCCTCCATCTGTACACAGTCTGCCTGGACTGGTGGAGTCCAAACACTTGGAAGAAGTTCTATAACCTTTTCCAGCCTGGTGAGCATCAACAACTGTTTTTTGGAGGCCCTCAGAAATCTCCTTTGTTCAAGCCATGACACACTTCCACATATCTGTGTTGTGGAAGATCAGACTTTGATCATGAATACCCAGAATTCTGTTCTTTAAATAAGGCAGGACCTCCCACACTCACACCTGATCCCATTGATTGAAACACCCGACTCCCATTTCTCCTTCACCCGATCTTCCTAGAGGTTCACCTACTTTGGCTTTGGATCATTTTCCTCAATAAATAAATGAACAAGTATAATCTTTTTGACTCATTTGTTTAACTGGATTCTCTTTATCTTGTTTTATGACTTGTGTGGAGGACAGATGATGTCATATTTATGCAGAAATACTGAAAATTTGAAAGGTTCTCAAACTTAAGCATCACTGAATTCTTATACCAAACCAGACCTCCTTGAAAGGCTATTCTTCCCTGAAATATGCTTTGACCTGTAAAAATGTAACAAGTTTCTTCTCTCTTCTTAAGCAAGCATGAAGAATTATATTTAACTTTTTCTCAGGAAAGCCCCATCAGATCACATGTCATGGAGACCTCTTTGCAGTTACCTATCCCTATGCTTTTGATGGTGACATGGCTATTTATGGTATGATAAAGTTAATGTAGATTTTAAAAATCATTTTATTAGACATGCCATCTTGAGAATATGGAACAGATATAAATTTATAAAGTTCCTTTGTGGTTGTCTGCACAAGAAGCTTTTTATAGAAGAGAAATGATAATGGAAAATAAATGGCTCACCTATGGTGATGTATTGGAATTTCCTCAAAGGCATTTTAAATTTTAAATTTAAATTTAAACAAGAGAAGACTTAGCAGAGGGATATGTGTCTCAATGGTTTGTTTATGCTCAATTACAAGAAAGGTTTAAAGTGGATAAAAAGGTTTTGAATATAGTAAAACTGAGTTTCAAGTTAAATTATGTACCAGTGATGAATATGTTATTGCAAAGATGTATACACTTTTATTGAGATTTGAGAGAGAAGATGAACAAGTTAAAGAGTGCATG